GCCAAAAAAAAGGTGTGTACATATATACACACACTGGCATAAAGAACATGACATCAGATCAGTTGTTGCAAGAGTAAGAAAGTTGATGGTCGCCATAGAGCCCTCACATGCTCGGAAAAAAGAGAAAAAAAATCACGGTTCACGTGAGACTGGCCTGGAAGTCGAGTTTTCCGCATCCGCAGGACCACCACCACCACCCTCTGGGATCCAGGCGCAAATTCAGCTCCTAAAGCGGTGGGAGATGAGTAGATTAGACCTAGCACAAAGTCGTCAAAGACCAAAAATCCCATTCGCTGTATTCACGTTTGCGCATGCCAGGCCAAAGTTCCCAATTAACAGGACTTGAACCTGGTACCCTCTGTTTCTCAATCATGGTCTTAGACAATCCCACTATGCCTGCCTGCCACACACACACACGTGCGTGCACACGCACATCGGAGGTGACGAAAAAGACGCGGCATTCCAACAATCAGCAATCGGCTATCAAGAGTCATCTGTCGGTTAGTAAGGGTTAGTGATAGTTGTCGTGAGTTGTACAGAGATGATGTTTTCTCAGTTTTGGTCCGTGGCAGACCTGTATTACATTTGTCTGTTTTGGAAGCGTTATAATTATATTAGTAAGTTGTCCCCTGAACTATGTGCTCAGAAGGAAAATGTTTTGTCACTTCAGTTGTTTGGCGCTAATCCTCGTGAAAGTGTCAGCAATGCTTCTCCTCACTGATGTTTTCATTATGTTTTAGTCATTTCTTCACCTTAACCCCTGTGTTTGGCCCCTGTTCAGCTGAATTTATTTTTTCCACACGTATAGCTTGAGGTTCTTGATCTATGCTTTTGCTGTAGCTCTATAAGTTGCTGTGTTTTGACATTTTTCAATTATTATCTGTACTTACCCATGATGAGAAGGGAAAGAAAACGTTTGCTTAACAGTGCTTACACCTTTTCCGTCGAAATTGGACACGCCTCCAATTTTTTCCTTACATTTCTTGTTTATTTCGTAAAACTAATTTTCAAAGTGACCCTACTCCTGGCTGGACCAGTGCAAAGTTACCATTATGCGTACATGTACGGTACACATCTGCACGCACACACAGAGCCAATTAGTCAGTTCTTCAATTTCTAGGAAGGAAGTAATGTGGCTGGTGACCAATTCAACCTATGGGGTTTTGTCAATCACTGACAAAAAAAGACTACTATGTACACAGTTATAATGAGTATGTATGTGTAGAGAGCTGTTGAGTTTTAGAACTAATATTCTATGTATATATATATAATACATCATATCCAATCCATGGACAGCATTCTATATACATAATATCTATATAATTATAATATGCCTCCAACATAATGTATAATATGTACATAGACAATAAGCATTTCAGGACAGTGCCTATGTAGAATGATGGCCTGAAAGAACTGGACACCAAACACATCATGCATATGGGTCCCAAGCAGAACAGGGTATGCATGTGAACTGGACACCAAACACATCACGCATATGGGTCCCCAGTAGAACAGGGTATGCATGTGCAAACGAAAAAACCCAGGATCACAAAAACCACAGTGTGCACCAGTTGTCCATCACATGACCTAGCCGCAGCAGAATATCTACATTGTACACCGCCTTGGCATACATGCATGTAGAAGCCGATCGATCACTAGTGTCTGCAAATTAATGGTCAGGTAGCTGAAGAGTATACACTGAGTGATCATGATAGAGTGCAATAAGCGTATCGCCATCCACCATCAACTGCCAGGCAAATAATGTACTGGATGGCGACGGCCAGACAGAACACCGGCCGATACACGTACTACAATCAACACACATGACACCATTGACAGTTTTACCATCATCATGGCTATAGTACCAGCTTGGCATGACTATAGTGTTACCCACAGCAGCCAAAACACAACGGAATACATCTACATCAAGAGTCATGTCCACTTTGATCTCGAGCCATGATGGCCTTCGCAGACTTTCCTCACTTACATCCAACTTCATGATTGACAAATGCGTATCATTGAGGTCTCTCCTTGGTATCACAAACAGAGTATCGTCAGTGCTGCAGATGCTGACCGGCGGCTCCGGCATGCGGAGCGGATCCAATTTTGTCCATACTGCACCATCATGTCTGGTATCTAATGAAATAACTTCTAAGAAAGGATTGCGCCATAAGCATACTATTAGAAGCGCTGACTGGGTTATAAATACATCCCCTAAATGCGTGAAAGATGTACTCATACTCGTATCTTGTACTGGCATACAATCACATTGTATTTCTCTAGTACAACAGTTTCCCTGTAGATCTACAACATGGATTTTGGGGATATACCTATCACTAATAATTCCAAAGTACATTTTTTCATTGTGAATGCAAAATCTTCTGCATGACCAAAAGTGTGGGTTGTCAATGGCGATTACTCTTGTCCATGCCACCTGAAGACTTTCCTTGAGAGAATGAGTAGACCGGTAGATCATTGGTCCTTCCTCCTCTTCCTGGCACACAATGTAAGCATGCCCATTGTACATGGTACAACGACGGTAACCTTGCCAGCTATCAGGTAGACGGCCACGAAAAGACCACTGCAGAGTATCAAAAAGGGAAAGGAATAAAGGAATAAAAAAATGGACGGAGCACATTTTCCAGCACAGCTCTGATCAAGATATGGCAGGCGTTTTCAGACAGGGTAAGCTACTTGCGAAATGCACCACTCCTCACTGCAAGTTGCAACCTTACCTAATAGTGAAGAATATTGTGCATTGTGTCTCTTGCCCAAAGATAGAGAGTGGAGCAGGAAAATGCTAGTTAGGAGGAGGAGGTGCTGGGGGGGGGGGGGGGGGTGGTTCGGGTTTTTTTTATTTCAGTTCGTTGCTTCAACAGTACATGGGGTGCACAGGGATGGGGAAGAAGAGAAGGAGGAGGAAGTAGAAGAAGAGGTTGGCTATGCAGTGATAATGGTTCATGAAAGTAACGGTTTCCACAGTTAGACATGGGTAGGTGACATTCACATAGGCTTCTTTCTGTTCGGTAGTTTTCCCTTGCTGAATCATAATGTTGTATCCTGACCATCAACATTTAATTGAAAATAAAGATTGAAGTATCACTGAAGTTGCTGCTACCTTAATATGATTGCATTAAATCTCTATTTCTCAGATTTCACTGAAATACAACCCCGCACTATACTCCACGCCAAATGTTTCAAGCGGTACATGCCCCCCCCCCCCCCCCCCCTACACACACACCTAACACAACCAGACCTAAATCTGCCCCTGCGTTGCCTATAATGTTTGTCTGTTCTTACCTTGGGCTTTGGATGCAGCCCGAGAGGCAGCTCATTGTCAGCTCCCTGGATTTCTACTGCATGTCCAGAATTGGCAGAGACACGGGTTGAATTGGCCTGTTCAGGATCTGCAAGAAAGGAGACAAAATATGAAATGAAAAAGAATGGCAGGAAAACAGATTCAAGCCTGAGGCATTTCTCTGCACTGTCCCGAAGTCACTACCACGGTACTGTGATGATAACATCACTTTTTTGAAGTACACAAAATTCTGAACTCTCTTGCTCGAAAATGTTGTTTGTGACTGATACAAGTGTTGGCGTTCCTGCCGAGTGACTTGACTCTAACTTGACTGACACACGACTGCCGTCTTGAGCATACCGGGAGCACATCGAACCTTCCACTCGGCAAACCTGCAAGAAAGTACCACTCCTTGCTCAACGTGCTGCTTGTGTGCTCCAGACGGCAGCAGCTGTTGGTCAGCCAAGTGTCAGTTATTCGGCAGAAAGCAGCAGCTGCAACATTCGGAGGTGCCACTTTCTTGAAACTACAATGTAAATGAAAAACCAAGATAATTTGACGGTCATGTGAAATTCCCACCGGAGCGACATGAGGGAGGCCAGAAAGAACAGCAAGTGTATTAAGCCTAGCGAACACACTCACACACACTCACACACACACACACACACACACACACACACACACACACACACACACACACACATACAGACACAGACACGTGTACACACACACACACACACACACACACATGTGTACACACACACCCACACACACATACACACACACACACACACACACACACACTGTACTTGTACTTGTTGCTTACTGCCAAAACTGGTCACGTGAGTCCCCCCGGGAGAGGGGAGAGAGACTCAAAAGGAATCTTGGAAAGATGACTCAATTGGTTATTGAACCGCCCAACGGCCGACACCCCTGAAATCCCCAAAACTCTGGGTGGACTTGAAAATGATCCCACTTATGGGCTCACCACACCTCAGTAAGTGGGTGAGGACAAGGTGCAGAAAAAGGATTGACGGCATCAGGGTATCCGTCCCGGGATCCAACTGCAGTTACCCCTGCCCCCAGTGAAGGTAATACTTGCTACTAGTGTGCGTGGCTCAATCAGAGTGGATCTGACATAAGCTTCACTAGCACCATTGATTACACAAGAGTTAATCTAGCCAGAAGCAGTCCATGGTTAACAGGTACGTATCCTTCAAATAGAAAGTATAATTATGAACCCTGGAACCAACAAAGGTGGCAGGTACAACATTACACCTTCAAGCAGCCGAGCCTGTTGGCAACAGACCCAACACAATCAGGCATAAGTGTACCTACCAACCGAACTAGCTGGCACACACACATACAATCTGTACACATGTGCCTTGTGATGGACCAAGGTTTCCTCACAGCCACATTGGTGCACTTACGACCAATGTGAGCAGGGGTCGAAGTTGCCTTTCTTGCCGCCACACCTAAGAAAGACCGCAAGAGGAAAGGCAAAGCATAATTTTACGACTACAGGGTCACTTGTTCTCCTGACGTCTTAGGTGGCATTCGTAGAAGCATTCTTGCAATGCTATGCGCGATATAACGCGATCTGCGAAACCGCAGTGCGATGCTTACTCACAAATTACCATTCGCAGCAGCAGACAACGCCTTGCTGACATGCCTCAAAGCTCAAAGCAAATGCGCACGTCAC